TGTGTGCCGTAGTAGCCTCCCTCGCCCCGCTGCTGCAGGCTGAGCTGCTCCCCCCCCCCTCCCTCGCCCCCCCAGCCCCGCCCCGCGGGACACTGGGTGCGCTCGCATCGCCTGGTACTCGGTTTGAGCCGGTTAATTGCTACAGTGCTGCCTTGCCTTACTACAGCGAGCAGAGAGACCGTAGGAGCCTTTTATCAGTTCTGCTGTAGTGGTCAGATGAAGCCTGTCTACTTTCCTGTTCTCCAGACAGGCTCCATTGGTGTCAGATGATTTCCTACCGGAAGAGGATTGGGCCAGAGCTTCTCATACAGTGCCTCCTCAAGCTGGAGCGAGCCCCTCTTGATGGGCGCAAGTCCCCGCAGGCCAAAGAAAAGGCCGGGAGAGAGAAAGGGGGAGGGTGGGATTAAATGGATGCATGATCTTGGCATAAGGGAATGCCTTTCCCCTAGTGAAAAGCGTGTAGTCTAGGTCTCTTTGTTAATAACACCAGCCGTTTACACCCTTTATTTTTACATTGCCCACATAAAAATAAACATAAATAAAATGTTACCGTTTTTAATGTACAGCCTGGGTTTGTTTCTCCTACAGGCCACTTAAATTAGAAAAACAAGTAGTGTTTGTTTTTCTTTTTATTAAAAGAAGTCTACACCCCTTCTAGGACAGCTGAGGTTCTGTGGTTTCAGTTTTGTAAGCTGTATATTGCATTTGTAACTACAGAATGAATTTTATGTTCCATTATAATCGGACTTTTTAGACCTTTTAAGAGTTCAACTTATCTTTTCCCCAGTGACTGGGATCACTATCTACTCTTTTACTTTGTCAGTTTCCTTACTGATAGAAATCTTTCTTTAATAAGTCTTGTGTAACAGGCGTAATGTATAGTATTGCTCTTCTTGGTGTGTGTACTTTGATTATTAGGGCAAGAAGATAGTAACTTTTTTTGAACACTTTTACAAAATCTTAACTTTTAAGTCCGTGAAGTATAATATGTACTTACCACGTTGGCAGACTGGTTATCTGAGGAGATCTCAGCAGTATCTCATGCTTTCATCTGTTAGGGTGTTGGGTTTTTTTTGGTTAATCTTGAGACATAATTTCCTAGAGAGGGCAAGTAGTGCTGGGCAAAAAGCAGTGCTCCATAGCTACCCTTAGATTACTTTGGTTTGTTGGGTTGTTGTTTTTTTTTAAATAGATATTCCATCATAGTTACAGGTTTGTATATATGGGCATAGGCACTATCTTTAATTTACTGACTTAAATGCTGTTTCTTGGAGTTTTAATGCTTTTATTGGGAGGGGGGAGGAAAGTCAGATGTATTAGAATGCTTATTTACAGTACTGATTGAGTGCTGGTTTTTAGCCCCCTTAAAGTAAATAGGTAGGAAAAAGGCAGATAAAAATAGATAGAAGTCTAAGATACAAAATCAACCTTCTGGTACACATAGAGGATACTGAAATCAGTAGAATAAATACCAGTCTTTTGGCCCTTACTTAACCTGCGTTTAAAAATACTCATAAGCAATGCTCTATGGCAATACACTGAGGAACAAAACATTCATTATTATAGTTGTTACGGTAGCAAATATGAGTTCGTGTATAAAATAAGAAATTGTTTAAAGAAAAAGTGAATCAACTGTTTGTCATTCTCTCTTGGAAGAAGTGAGTTGTGATTGGAAGCAACAATCAAGAGTAGTTTAAACGTACTCTTCTTACCCATTCCCCACTATCCTCTTTTTTACAAACAAGCCTTCAGATAGAGCTGTGAGGGAAATAGCACTTTTAATTGTCACTGGATACAAGCACAGTGAGATAAATTTTCTCACTGCAAAAAAACCCAGTTTTTATAAAAATCCTAAATTTCTTTACCTAATTTACTGAGTTAATAAACCATCTCCTGTACTCCAGATTTTTGTCTCCTCCAGCAGGTTTCCCATGTAGTACTTTATGTTCTTGAGGTGAAATTGTTTCTGCTTGTACTTTCTGGCGCACCTATAGATGTAGCAGGATGTTGCAAAGGTGGTATCTTTCTGTTATGGGCTGTTTGCATCAGGAGGGAGTAGTGGAGATCTCCAGTGCACCATACAGTTGTGTCATGAGATGACTGCTAGAGAAGTTTTGTTCTGCTCAGACTTGGACTTCTCAAAGGCCTTAGTCTGGATTTTGTTTACTTTATGTTGAATTATTTCTTTCTCGTTTGCCTCCTTCTCAGGGATGAAGGATGCTGTCAAAAAGAATGTTCTATACTTTTTACATTCACTTAGATATTCAATTTCTGTGTATGGCCTTACAACTTTTCTCCCTCTAGTCTTCCTATGTGAAAGCAGGCTTTTTTAAATTGAAATTAGTAAATGGTGTGGTGAAGTATACAAAGTTTTCCATTTACTCCATGTCCTTGGTCCTCACGTTTCCTGATTTTTTTTTATTTGTTTACTTTTTAAGATTTAAATTTCTTTATTTGAGAAACTTATTTTTTCCTCCTGTTAGTTTCCTTCTGTTAGTTCTATTCCTATTCTCAAAGCTTGATTTTAAGCATATGATGGTATTGTCTTGCCACGCTGCCCCACAATGCCCTCTTCAAGACCTGTATGCTTCAAGATATTAATTTTATTCTCAGTAGAGTTGTGTGCAGAACAGCACCTTCCACGTGTACCTAGCATCTAATACTAAGCTGAATTTTGGTGTCGGTTTGCTGCTACAGTTTCTCTATTCTGGAAGTCGTGAGGAGTACCTGTGGGTCATCTGCATCTAGTCCTTTTCATCATCAGAGGAGCACAGCATCTGAAGTACAGAAACCTTTTCTTAAGTGATTTGGATGTGGAGTTTGGGCAGGGAGAAACTTGTTATGTTTGAGATGGAGCTTGTGGCCTTTTCCTTTCTGGTTTACAACTCTGTTTTTGTATCGTGCCTTGGTTAACATGTTGCCTAGTTTGTCCAGCCACTGTCCGTAATTAGAGTGAGTCTTGCAGGTAAAGATTATGTTGCTGTAGATATACAACACAGCCTTTCTGGGGAACGACTGCTGCTCACTTGAGTGCTTGGGGCACAAAGGACAACAAGTAGTTCTCATAAAGGTAGATCACGGTCCTGCACATAGAGATGGAGTGATCCGTGGAGAACATCCTCTGTTGAGGACAGGATACCTTTGTTTGAACACAGACCTAGCTGTATGCATCCAAACCTTCCTTTGTCATTCATGCTTTCCTTTTGGCAATGTGAAGATGCCACCTGGAAAGAAACAGGTGTCCAATTCCTGCTGGAGAAACAGTTCTACTTCCTAAGAGGGTGTTCTGGTGGAAGTGCCTGTCAGTCATACAAGGGTGCCTCCTCAGTAGGGAAGGTTCACCACATACATTATCTCCTGCAGATACAATTATAGGACTCTGAAACTTAGTTATCTTCACTTTAGTACTTAAGTATCTAGTAGCTGATAACACCCAATTGTCTGCAGGTGTCAATTTTTTTTATTATTATTTTTTAGGAAAAACTGAGGGTATACTTATGTTTAAGCATGTCTTGCTCACAGCCTGAAATTCTGTTACATTCTCTGGTGGTCCTGTTTTCTCCTTATCTCTTAGTTAAAGAGTGGAGTACACGGTAGTGGTCATTTAGATGTGATAAAAATGTGAGTGGACAAGAGAAATGTCAAGCCTATAACATGTTTGCTTTACTCTTCAAGAAATACTGCATTCCTGGTGGCTAAAAATGTCATGATTTTTTGTTCTGAAGTAGAATGTTATATTGAGGAATTTGTTCTTATATACCAAAACCCTTTCAGAGTTTAGTATAACTTACTCCTTGAAACTGTAGCTTTATGAATGCATGTGCATTTTTAACTTGTTACAGAGTTTGTGATGCATTTAGGTTATCTGTCTTGCACAGTTCGCTTTAGAAGATGCAGGAGTTCTTTTAGTTTTTCTAATTCGCTGGTTTTCAAGTCCACAGTCTTGGTGGATCTAAAGTTTGTAAAGATGATAGCAAATACAAAACACTGCCAAATTAAGGATGGAAGAGCAACAAACCATAGTACATAACTAGAAAACACAAAGTTTTTATCTTTTCTGAAGCTTTAATTTGTTTTGCTTCCTTCAACAAGTTGTAGAACCTAAATATTAAGTGTGGAAGCTTAAAATGGAGTGAAAAGTTACTTGTTTCACTGAATTAAAAAAAAAATAATAAAATTGCTCCTTTTTCAAGAAAGATGTAAGTTTCCTCTTAGGGTGATTCCTCAAGGAATTCATACTGACAAAAGTGTAAATGCTCCATTTGTCTTAACAAGATAAACTGTTTTAAACAAATAGATTGGAAGAAGCCTCATGTAGTGGCATACACTTGTAAAATATTTCTGAGAAGTATTGAAGAATTTCCTTTTTTGACAGCATGTTTTTAAAAGTAAAAGACATTATGATTTAGTGCTTCCTACAAAGATGCATCAGTATATTTTCTATAGCTACACAATGTAGTTGGCTGTGAAAAACAAAACTACAGAGACAGAGATGAACAGAATTGTTTCTGGCGTAATTGTTAGTGAAGTTCCTTATTGAAAGGATCAGGGATGGTGACTGTATTCTACCCCCATCTCATTTTTATGTTTATTTTGTTTTAAGAAAGCCTAACTTAACATGGTAGATCCTGATACTCCCATGATAGTGCCAAGTCATTAGAGTACTAGTAGACAGTCATAACTTCTGGAGGACTGTTGCAACACAAGTGCCTCTACATTTTGTACTCATGCCAAATTTAGCCTTCTGCTTTAATGTTGCAATTAGGGTAACCAGGATCCTGCCTAATATCCTATTTTGACTGACCCTCATAGGAGTAGTGTTCAAACCTGGCCATTCCATATCTTAAGGAAATAATGCAGAATTAATTATTTTCTCCCTCTTCCTAGTAGCTGGGCTAGATTTCTGAATATAGCTGACTTGCACTTACTTGTTCCATGAATAGTTGTTCTCTAGGTCGTATTTATAAATACTGAGACTGACTTGTTTTCTTACAGGTGCCACAAAATATACTGATAAAGATAATGGAGGGATGCTTGTATGGTCTCCGTATCATAGTATTCCAGATGCCAAGTGTAAGTTCTTTTCTGCTTAGGAATTTTGGTGCTTAAGTATGACTGTTTCTGGTGTGCCTCTTCACTCTGTATTTTACACACAGTGCAACTGCAAATTAGTAAATTAAATACAAATCTTCTCATTTATATATTAATTTAGAGAACTCCAGGGAAAGGATTTATTTTGTAGTTAAGTCTTTGTTTCAAATCACACTGCCTGTGTTTATATCATCATCAGTGTCTGTAAAACCTTTAATCATTAATAAAAGAATAAAACATCAAAACATGAGAAACTCAATGCTCTGAATTTAGAAGAGAAGGAGTTGCAGTAGATACATTCAGAAAAGATTTGTTGAGGCCCAGTTCAAGGGGAAATTATTGTTGTTGTTTTATCAGGAAAAAATGATAATTTTCTCCCTTCAAAAGTGACATGAAATACAGGAGTAAGCTGAGTAAATGTGATCAAATATATGTTTAAACTAGTTTAAACTCCTATGCTAGGATTTCTTGTATGTTATATATACTCCCCTAGTTGGCTTTGGGGATGCAGTCATGAGAACCTGGTTCTTAGGACAGTTTCTACCTGTTGCTAGTATTTAGAGGTTTGTGTCCCTCTACATTTGAGGGAGCATACTTTCTACTGCTGCCAAACAATTAGAAATAGAATACTCCAACTATGATTATCAAGCACTCCTTTCATTCCTTTAAAGTACAATTACCTCTTTGCTGCAGCAGTTCATGGCAAGGACATCTCTGGTCCATTTGAATAATGAGGATATAATTATTTCCTTTTCTCAGTCATACTTCATTTCAATTATATTTAGTTGCCATTTAATTGTGAACTGTAAAAGGTGAATGGGAAGAGTTTCGGTTTTTTTTGAAAATCAGAAAAGTACCCATTGAAGATGAAAACTAGGAGGACTTAATTGCAAAATGATGGAAAGTGTTCATCTCAAAGCTGACTCTAGTATGGCCAGATATGATTTTTAAAATGTTATTGGCAAATTTGATGGCCTAATTATTGAATTTTCATATTCTCTATTGAAAACTGATTTCATGCCATGGTTAAGGTTAATGTTGGTCAGCTAAAACTGTATTAGTATTGATGATATGCATAATCATTGATCAAGGATCTCTTTACATTAATTTTTAACATGTTTGGAAATATGAACAGTAGAAATAGTTCAATTTAAAACTGACCCAGCTGTCTGGACACAGCCCCCCCAGTGTGTTTGTGTTCTTCAGAGTGGTTTCCAAGAAGACAACCTTTCAATAACCAGCTAGCCTCTGATTTAAATAAATAAATGATGAGCTTCTGTGGCTTTGTTGTAGTAAAAATGTGAAAGTATCTTTTTCACTGAGAATTAGCTTGTGGAAAAGGCTTAAAAAAATAAATGTTGTATCAAATACTTGTTTTTCATTAATAAAGCTATGAATATATTTTAACTTTTTGGGGACCGTGGGTCTACGTAATGTTTTAACATGGGAGAACAGTCTTCCCATGCTTTTCACGGCAAATTCTTTGTCACCTTGTAGCAGAACTAAAAGTACTAAAGAATAATTCTGACATTGCTTTGTTACAGTGGATGAATATATAGCGATAGCAAAGGAAAAACATGGATACAATGTGGAACAGGTAAGTGCTATGAAACGAGAGTGCTCATTTAAAGGATTTTTAAAATATAAAAGTATAACACAACTCTTCTTTTTTTTCCCCTTGGTTACCATTAATTAACGCTGTTTCTCTTCAGGCACGGCAGCAAACACTGCAGTTAAATGGATCTGCACACAGTTGTGGTCTGGATTCTCTGCAAAAGATTGAGCTCTTTGTTTTCATGACATGCTCAGCTTGTAATGTGCACTTTTGAAAGGTTTGGTATGTTTCTTGATACACTGGGCATGTCATGCAATTGTGTGTGTATATTTAGCTGAAGAACTTCTTAGGAAGGCAGCTTCCAAATTTAATGCTTAATATTAGAATTCAAATAGGGTACAATCATGAACCACTAATTGTGATAGGGACAGGACTGGAAAGGTTTATTGTGTATTTGGAAAAAAAAAAGAGGGAAACCTACTTTAAGTGTTTTTTCAGAGGCAGGAAAACAAACAAATTCTAGGTTAGAGATAACAAACAAATCCACATTTTAAAAAATAAATTTTAGTCAGCATCTTGTTGGAAGTACAGGATAAAACTTTGCTAGTCTGCACTTAGTTCAGTTGCTGTTTTCTTCATAAATTAACCAGATTGTGTAAAAGTGAGATTACATATGGCAAAAAAAGTATTTTGTGTACAGGTGGAAGCAAGTTGTATGATTGCTTTGGAGGATGGAAACTCATAATAGCAAAGACTTGCTAGTCAACTACTATCTGAAGAAGAGGCTGCCACTGTTACAAAGTCCAGAATACCTACAGTTTGGTGATCTTTGTTTATGGCTTGGCTTTTGTTAGGGGAGAGAGGGAACTGAGGAATCTCAAAATAAATCTGCAAAAAAAGGCTAGTTTTCAGAACAACTTCTGGTACAAAATATTTGTAGACTGTTCAAAGTAGGATAGAAAATATCTTTGCAAGAGGTGCTTGTCATTTGCCATTTCAACAAGAGAAGAGTTTTACTATTTCCGGGTTTGTTAGAAGATGTAAAATCAGGGGTTAGAAGAGTTGAACAACTGGTGATCATGTCTGCACTGTATGTTTGAAATCAAGTGGATTGCATTTCCCATTAAGTCTGTCATTGGTTTTCTGGCAGAAAGTCTAATCAGCATAAAGTTTTTTAAGGATATTGAGAAATTAAATTATATAAGAAAGTATATTTAAATTTCCATTCCTTATTAGGTACACATGACATGGAAGTAGCCATACTGTTACTTGTGGTTTAGTGAGTTACAGAAAGACTGCTCTCACTTTGAACTTTCTGACTTGTATTTTGGATGAACCTCTGGCTGCTGAGAAGTATTTTTATTTTCCTTTTTGAGTGGTCTGGTAATAAAGGCCTAAAAACCTATAAGGAACTGTGTAGGTGATGAGTGCTTGTGAAGGAAGAAATCAGGTCAGATTTGAACCTATCAGCCTAGTTCATGCTGCTTCAGAATTACTGCTGCCATGCCAACCTTAAATTGTCTAGCTTTCAGACTTTATTGAAGTACAGATGTGCCCACTCACTCTTCATATCGTCTCCAAAGAGAATTTTGTAACATATAGTACATAGCCAATAACATTTTAAATATATTTGGATAGGGGATTCTGATAGTCAAATTTTGTTTTAAATATATAAGCTGCCTTTTTTATTTAACTTGTCTCAACATTTTAGAAAGTTGACTAAATCCAAAGAGGGACTGTTTCTTTTCAAAGGCTCTTGGCATGTTGTTCTGGCATAAACACAATATTGAGAAGTCCCTTGCGGATCTCCCTAACTTCACTCCTTTCCCTGATGAATGGACAGTTGAAGATAAAGTCCTGTTTGAACAAGCATTTAGCTTCCATGGAAAGAGCTTTCACAGGATCCAGCAAATGGTAAAGTAATATATTAAAAAGTAATATGTTAACCAGAAGCATTAAACGCTTCAGGTGCTGTAAGAACAAAGGCTCCTGTTGGGTGAAAATTTCTTGTTGATTTCTGTAGAGCCTTCAGGAACAACCTTTGAATATAACATTTAATTTAATCATGTCTCTTGGACCTACAGCTTTCTCACTCTTAACAAAAAAAAGCCTCTCCCTTTCCCACCCCCTTTTTAAAAAATGTGTATGAGATACATCCCTCCTTTCCAGCTCATCCACACATTTAAATTATTTGGGTATAGGTGGTTGTAAATACAGCAGAATTGTAATCTTGGGTTGAATTTTATTTTTTTTAAGTATTAATATGTTAACTAATTCTTCTAGCTTCCAGACAAGACTATTGCAAGCCTTGTAAAATATTACTATTCTTGGAAAAAAACTCGCTCTAGGACAAGTTTGATGGATCGGCAGGCTCGAAAACTAGCTAATAGAAATAATCAAGGCGACAGGTGAGTTTTATATTTTCAAGTAGCTAAGCACAAACTAAAGTGTTTCTAGGTAGAGATGTCAGACTAATTTCCAGCCATTAAGTTTCAGGGTGAACCATTTTTTTTTAGGTTTGAGCATGGTGGTGATGTTTCTGCTTTTAGCAAAGGCTTTGGTACCTGTGCTGTAAGAACTGTATCACTCCAGTCAGTGTGAGTTGTAATAACATACTTGAGTGCTTTAATGGATAACTAAAAACAAGTGTTTAAAAAAACCTGAAGTCTGGGAATGTGGGTTAGAAACAATTGTTTATTTGAGAAGTCTAACCTTATCTTATTGTGTGAAGAAGGGGTTGTTTTTGTGGATGTGGGGGCTTTCTGAGTTTTTTTCTTTTTTTTAAACTAGAATTGAATTAAAACTGAAAGATCAACCACTGTAAAGAGCTGTAGCCATTAGAAAGCCTAAGTACTGTTTTTGTTATAAAACTTGATATATAATCTTATTTTATGAGACTTAAAACTGCTATCAGTCAAAGAGAATTAGAACTCAAAATAGTCTTAAGTTATCTTGGATGAAATGGAATGAGATTTCCTCCAGTTACTATGAAACTTAAATTGTATTGCACTTGGTGTACTTGAGTATGAACTTGCATTTTTAAAAGTTACTTAATATGTTGAATGTATAAGTAACATAATCATGTTTATATTGTAAAGTATCATTTTACATTTACAGAAAACTGCCTAGCTAGAGTAGAAGGGTCTATTTAATTATGTTATTGAAAAGAGCTCCTGAAATCTATAATTCCTATGCTTACTGAGTGACCCTCTCACTGAAAAATTGCAGAAGAAAATTATTTTGCTTCTAATGCAGCATTTTGAGGTTTTTTTGTAATAGTTAGAAGATTTTGTGGTGTTTTTACATTCATATATTCAGAAATTATATGGTGTGAGTGACTGGATTGGACTTGACTAAGCTGACTTATCTTTTCAACAATTTCTCTTTGATTTAATTGAGCAGATTTTATTCCCCACCTGCCCCAAATTGCTAGATCTTGAGCACTTTGGTGAAAAAGCAGTCCTGTGTTTTCCCATCTTATATTGTCCCCCCTTGCTCCCCATAGACTTCAAAAAGTGTTTATTCATCCACCTGGTGAAGTGGTTTGAAAATTGATCTATTAAAACTAATGAGGCAAATGAAAGGTTATTTTTAGCCTTGGTATAGTTGACCATCTAAGTGCTTTTGCTGGCGCAGGTGGTTGAACTGAAGAAAGGCAACACCAGTTTTTCTGACAGCAGTACCAGCCCTGCTTAAAGTAATTTTGAAACTATAGTTTTGGATTGCTTGTTTTTTATAATAATAATTATTAGGGTTTAATAAAGGAAATATGTCTGTAACAGCTCTCTTTTGAAAACTACAGACAACTAAGAGATGCCATGTACTTGGAGTAGATACTTTAGAGTAGACCATTCTGTCTTAGCCTGATACATATTTATATTCGAGGTTTAAAATTAGATTAAATGACCAGCTTCTTATCTGTCTTCAGTGATGATGACGTAGAAGAAGCTCATCCAATGGATGGAAATGATAGTGATTATGATCCCAAAAAAGAAGCCAAAAAGGAGGTAACGGATACCTTAATGGTGAATGTCAGTTTGTTTTCTGTGAATGTGTTACTGTGCAAAATATTACTTTCTAGTGAAGAGGTTTAGCTTGCACCCTGCTGAAATCACAGGGGTTTTAGGTGATCAAGATCTTGACAACTTCTGATTGAAACAAAATTTTATCATATACTTTTGCTGTTCTGTGGATATAAATGCATCTCCAAGTTTTTCAAGAGATGTATGCAGTTGTTACCTGGTAAAGCAATGTTCCCCCTTCCTCTGTCTTGTTAATATGTTTACAGTTTTACTGGTTGTGAATTCTTGAGATTTAAATGTTTTCTTTGCATTTTAAAATTAAATGCCAGTTTCTTTGTTCTTTCAAAGCCACAGTGAGGTGGTGTTTCAACTAATACTTGGCTTTATTGAGATGTTTTCTATTAATAAATGTAGAGTAAAACATTTTTGTCTCCCCTAAGGAGTACTTACTTTTAGCATTACAAGTAAGTGCTGTGTTTGGGGGATGTTCAAGTTTTGACTTTTTTGGGGGTTATTTTGGTAAAAAAAAAAATTATGAACTAGACTAGAAAAACAAGGGTGTAAACATTTGATTGTTTCCTTGATCAGCTTAATGTGTTTGTGATTTTCCTAAAATGCAACAGTTCATATTGCTTGAGAATACGAGAGGAGAGATAGTTCAAAAGCTCAGCTTTCCCATTAAGAGGTGTCTAGGACTAAGAAAACTTAGCAGTTCTACCAAAAATGATCTTGGGGAAGAGACTGATAGGTTTACATTTCATTCTCAGCTTTGCAGTGACCTTCAGCGTATTGCTTTAACTACCTCGGGGGGAAGAGAAAATTACAATTACAACTATCCTTTTCTGAATAAGATATTTTAATTTTTTTTTTAACATGCCAAGATATGGTTTTTAGAACTTGAAATGGCACAAGGTCTAATAATGAAACTTTTTACTTTTCATTCTGCTATTTTAACAAAGTACTTGAAATGTTCATTTGAGTTGCTGCCTAAGCCACTTCTAAATAAGGGCTATTTTGTTCAATTTACTTTCCTTAGTTACTGTTTGAATTACTACAAGCAGAATGAAAGTAGGGTGGTGTTCATAGACTTTTAGGAACAGGACAAATAGGCTTGTAGTTTCTGATGAGATATTTGGATCAACATAAGATGTTTCTGTGATCTCTTATTTCTGGTAGGATTTGTGTCCTTTCACTTCCTAAGCAAAATACAACTGAGTATGCTGCTTGAACTTGTGGAGCCATGGAAACTTTGTTACCAGTGAAAACTAAAACAAGCCAAACAGACTTTGGCAAGACAAAAAAAGCTTGAGAGAATATTTTCATTTGAAATCCAGATTGAACAGACAGGAACTGTAATTTTGGACTGAAATAGCAATGCAGAACCAAAAACCAAATGGAATAAATGGGCCAGAAATAAACTTAACCTTGGAATTTTTAGATGTTAAAGATGTAAGGTTCTCTAGCAACTTTCCAAGGAAGAGCCAGTATCTTAAGTGCTATTAAGATGGCCTCTATGAAGTCTGTGGGCTGGATTAAGCTGTTACATTAGCCGGGAAAAGGATGTGGCAGAAGGTCAAGCATAGAAAAGCAAAATGCTGTTGGCTGATCTGTACCAATGCTACAGAACATAATAATGGCTGCTGCAGTTTCTTTCCACTATGATTAAATTACCACCTCCCCTTAACCTGCATGGATGCCAGCTTGGAGGAATAGGAGGGAGCTGCTTGAAGTAGCAAAAAGCCTGAATCCCTTCTCTGTTTTGGTACTAGGCATTGCTTTGAACTTAAAATCCTTGTGGGGAAAGTAATTTTTACTTCTCTGCTCCTGGTCTGTGGGGAACCTACCCAGTTGTTCTATGGAAGTCACATGTATACAGACTCGCTGTTGTGTAGCAATGCCCACTGAAGACTAAGCTGACATTTTTAGGTATCCAGACACATCAAAACAGCAGTTACAAAAATTTCATCTCCTCTTTGCCATCCCTTTCCCTTTGAAAAAAGAAACATTAAAGGCTTGTTTGCTAAATTACATTAATTTTTATAATTATTGCAAAGTACATCCATCCTTTCTCTTCCAAATCTCAAATCCTCTCCCAAAGCAAACAGTGCTATCATTTTCTATAGTGATTGCAGCAGTGCATTCTTGCCTGTCCTGGTTGACTTTCATTCTCCTCTGATCTTCACCTTGAACTCTCCATATCTGGCCAGAAATAAATGGGTAAATTCACTGATTACTCTGTTTAAATATGTAAATATATATATATATGTTCTTTACCTTCTGTGTCCATAAAAGTTTCTTGATTTTTTTGCCCTCTTTCACAGTATTTACACCATGATTTCTATACCATTTAATGTACTTCTAACCATGTAAAAAAAAAAAGTTTTGAAAACTGACTTTCAAAGTCTGGTGCAAGCTTACCCAACAAATTACTGTCATGCTCCATCAGCTCATCTGCAAGACTTAGTTTGATTAGAATGTGCAGAGAAGGATGTTAATTTAGGCTTTCTTTGTCCTGAGACTACAATGCTATGTGATATTTTATTAGAGAATGAAGTTGTATACAAGATACTGTTATTCTTTAATGATTTATTTCTTGTAAATTAAAGGGCAATAACGAGCAGCCTGTTCAGACCAGCAAAATAGGTCTGGGTAGAAGAGAATATCAGAGCTTGCAGCATCGCCACCATTCTCAGCGTTCCAAATGCCGTCCACCAAAAGGCATGTACCTGACCCAGGAAGATGTGATAGCTGTTTCCTGTAGTCCCAATGCAGCCAACACAATTCTTAGACAGCTGGATATGGAACTAATCTCATTAAAGCGACAGGTACCATGGGTTATTGGTCTTGTTTTATTTTCATCTCAGATTGTTCTGGTTGTAATGATTGTGAAGAGTCTGTAAAGATTCTGAAACTTCTTTAATGTGAGCATTTCTAATTTTGTTCCACAGCTATCACCAAAAATGCTGGACACTAGCTGACTAGCTATTCTTCTGTTTTGTTTTTTATGTTAATCTGCTCTTGTTGATAACATGAAACAGAATACTTCCTTTTTAAAAAAGAAAAGAGGAGAGAAGAGAAGCGTGGCATGAAAATTATGTTACAGATTTGGGGACAGGAGAAAACCAAAGTCCCTTCTTTTTTTTTCTTTTTTTTTCTTTTTTTTTAACTTGTGAAAACTATTTGTGTGACAAGTGAGAATAAGACCAGTGAAGCAGAGGAAGCTTTATTTGTTGTGTTTAAAATTGTAGCTGTTTTTCTGAATGTCCTTCCCCACATACCATGAAAGTATGTGGGCAGAAGTCATGGGTTTAGTTATTTCTCTTTTTTAATTGATGAGCTTTCTGCTTATTATATTTAGAAAAGCTGTGTGGTCTACACCTCTAAGAGAGGAATTGCCTGTGTTCTTCGCATGAAGTAGTTAACTTTCCGCACTTAAAGTTGAAACACAGAATCTGTTCAGCTTCTGAGGGTGCAGCAGTATGTGCATGCTTGCTTTCTAGGAGCAATGGGGCTACAAAGTCAAGGCTTATCTCCTGGAATTTCTGCCTCGTAGACTGCTAAGAGGTGCCATGTTGCAAATCATGGAGTGAATAAATCATGGGGTTTTTGCTCCCTTGTATTCTTTTGCAGGAGAAATATGCTTCTTTCTGTCACAGCAGGTCTCTGGGGCTAAATAGCATAGGTGGGGTTTCCTCTTTAGCCTGAGTGTAGGTGAGTTACAGCCTTGAGGTTGTGTTTCTCTTTTTTTCTTGCAGTGCTCTCAGGGATGCAGCCTTTGGAATCTCCCCACTGAGTTGTCTGCTTTTGTGTCCATACTTAAGAACACTTGTAATAGCTGTGCACCATAGTATGCAAAACTTTTCTTACCTATGTTACCTTATGTGCATTACTCTCATGTTTAAGTGGTTACTAACTGTGTATACATACGATTTGGAAGCGCTCTCCTTTTCATAGACTAAGATATTTTATTTAAATCTTTGAAATAATTTCAAGAGTCATCCTCAAAGAAGTCATGATGATCTAGGGTCAAAAAAAAGCAGTCTGTCAGAAGGAACTAACTGAAAACCTCTCATAAATATATATATATTTTTTTCCTTCAAAATGCTTTTTTGAGAAGGAAGAAGTTAATGTATACAGTACATCTCATTTAGATTTCTAAGAACCAACTCTTGTGTCTAGAACATTCTGCATTCTTCAAGAACATACGCATCATTATCACAACTTGCTTGCTGTGTCCTACTTTTAATATTCCTACAGACAAACTGTTCTTCTGAAAGACTGGCTTAAATATTTTTCTCTCCATAGTAAACTGTGCTGTAATTTTAAATTATTATTTCTTTTAACAGTTAAAAGTAGTGAAGCCTTAAACCATAATATTTCTCTTTCTAACTTAGGAGGTACACTTGTGGCAATCCTAGTGAAGATATATGTGTAAAGTGACCAACTTTCTTTGTGGAGCTGATTAACTTTGTTGTTTTTGACCAAGGTTCAAAATGCTAAGCAAGTAAACAGTGCACTTAAACAGAAAATGGAAGGCGGGATTGAAGAATTCAAACCTCCTGAGGTAAATCTGAATAAATACAAGAAATTGTGGCCTTGCACTTACATTAGTGGGAAGCTACAGAAATGTGTTTTGCTTGCAGCAATAGTATTTGCATTTCAGCAGCTTAAACAGGGTCCATTGAATTACATGCAGGGGTGAGTCTGGCTCCTTTACAAGAAATTAGTGGTAGGCTTTTTTTATGGCAACTGACTGAATGACAAAACAGAAAAAACTGAAAAAGTCCTATCTGTACATGACAAAAAGGAGCTGGATTTGACCTCTGATGTATGTGGATTTTTTTATGGATCAGAAGTAGCTAATGTATATTGCTGGCAGTAAATACTTTGTGAAAAATGGCTATACATATACTTGAACATCTAAAACGATTGATTTATTACTACTGAAGTTCTCTTTTTGCTTGTTTTGAAGGCTTGGATATGAAACATAACATGAGTACAAAACTCTCCAGACACCAAGTCCAAAAATTTTAGATAAATATAACTACAAACTCAAATTCTGTCTGCATAAAGGTCATATATAGCTGATATGAAGAACTGCAAGAGGGAAAGCTATTAGTGTAGTTCTAAGCTTGAATCCTTAAATGTTACTTCCTCTTCATGAAAGCAATCTTACACTATAAATTTATGTCTTACAAGAGATCTTTACTTGTGTTGCAAAATGTAGTGCAAATAAAACACATTCTGATGCTCAGATATTTTGCAGCTGTTGAAACATTTTAATGATCTTTGTGCCATTTTTCTAATTTTAATAGTCTAATCAGAAAATCAATGCCCGTTGGACCACAGAAGAGCAGCTTCTTGCAGTACAAGGTATGTTAATAGTAGAAGTGTTTTGAAATCTGAAGGATTTGAAGAGGTACTCAGGCTTATGTTTGTATTTCCCTCTAATGAAAAACTAAACTTTATCTGGTTTTAGAAGAAAAATCACTGAGAAAAACAGCAAAACTAGTGAGAATTCTTAGGGCACTCATTCAATCAGCATGACACTAGTCTTTCAGTTACCCCTATTAAATCTCAAACAGAAAAACTAGGCTGGATTTAACAACTGAAGTTGAAAAGTCCCTTCAGTTATCTTCTAAATCACCTTACATTAATTTATCCACAGTGGAAAACAGAGGTAATAGTTGAAGTAATAAAATTTGAAGCAAACACTTATTAGGAAATCTCTCTGTTCTTAAAGTAGGAAAAAGTATAAGTAAAACTGATCACTCATTCAATCAGCATGACACTAGTCTTTCAGTTACCCCTATTAAATCTCAAACAGAAAAACTAGGCTGGATTTAACAACTGAAGTTGAAAAGTCCCTTCAGTTATCTTCTAAATCACCTTACATTAATTTATCCACAGTGGAAAACAGAGGTAATAGTTGAAGTAATAAAATTTGAAGCAAACACTTATTAGGAAATCTCTCTGTTCTTAAAGTAGGAAAAAGTATAAGTAAAACTGATTTACAGTTACTTTTCTCTATTCATAAGGGAACACAAGAGCAGATATTTACCCAGGGGAGACCTTTTAAGAGTCTGGAGCTGGATATGGATGCTTGACCAACAGTCTTACTGGAGAAAAAACACCGTTTTCTAGTATGCTATTTATACAGCTAATCTGCAGATATTTATATGAATGAGAACTGACTCTTGCCTTGGGTTTAATATACACTGCCTGATCAAGGAACATCCAAGAGAAATATCTGAAGAGCCTAATTCTGTATCGAAGACACTGTATATTGGCTCACTTCTGTATATCATTTATTTTAAGATGGAGATATTCAGTTCAGTTATACACATCTGCTTTATTTCACTGTGTTCTTCACCTTTAAAACAAAATACTGAGTTTTAGTATAAAGTCTTCAGCTGAATCTGGGTATAAGTGTAAAGTTGTCAGGTGTGCCTTATCTGTTAGTTATGAGCCAGATGAGTGAACCTAAAGTGAGGTTTATTTTGAAGTGTGAATGGAAATGCTGAAAAGCAAGGTGTGTCTGAAGTCACACCTCTCAACTTACATGCCTCATAATGGGATTTGCATCTCCAAAATGTTTTCTGTCCTAAGTTCTTCCTCTTGGTTTTCCTAACAAGCTCACTTTATTTTGTTCCCAAATGCAACTGAAGGAGATGCCTGTCTTTAATATGATAGCCTAGTAAGTAGAATGCTTGGTGGAGAAATGGGGAAAATTCAGGTTCGTGGTGCCTGCCTTTGTGTGAAAGGATTCAAACCATTTGGGAAGTGTTGAGAGTACACTTAGTTTTTATTAAGATATTGCACTATGACCGACAAGGTAAATAAAAGGTAGATAAAACTGGGGTGTGGGCAAAAGAGAATAAGGGTTGGTGATGACTCCCTAGAGAGGAGTTCTAGCCTTCTAGTCTCTTCTCTAGGGAGTGTTTCATGTTTTTATAAAGGTAGTCAGTCTCAGTACTTAAGGGTGGGGAAATCAGGCCTCTGGAAAAAAAATCTGGTTTAATGTAACTTACTTGTGCTTCTTACCTGTATTGTCTCCTTTTTCGTTCCCTTCCTTTGCCACTGTATAAAATGGAAATGGGAGGGAACCTTTATATCAGGAACCAAGTATTTTATTATCCCTTCCTTACCTGCTGCCCAGTAGTAGTCTGCCACCTGAAATGAGAGTGCTGTAGGTATTAACCTCCTGCCCTGATCTCTTGCTTGAAGGTGCTTGAGCTATTAGACTTATGCCTGAAGGAGCCATTCTGGTTTTTGTCCTGACATTGTGTTTAGAAGAAAGTAGCCGTGCTTGCAGGACTAAGAGCTACCGTAATGCATGGTAGGCTTGAACTTGGAAGTTGACTTGAGTACAGGAACGTCTAGTTTGTACACTTAAAACAGATTTATTTCATCAGGTGGACTAATACATTTTGACATGTGTTTTTAATAATTTTACAGAAATTATAAACATTAAGCAGGTAGGTGGCACTTCTGTGATTTTATTTTTACTTGAATTAGACATTAAATCCGACCATGGAAATCATAAAAATAATGTGCAGTAATATAATTTTTATACTGTTTTTCCTAAACATGGAAATGGGCTAATCTCAAGAGAGTGGCAGTAACTAAAGAGGAGGTAATGAAAAGACCCACCTTAAAATAGAGCTGAGTGTGTAATCTTATAAGCCTTGTGGCTGCCTGCAGTGGGGGTTGTGTCCTCAGACTTACCTCTGAGACAAGCTTTTGCAGTATGATTTATCAGGATACTGTTCAACTTTGTCTGAATAGTTATTGAATGTAATGCATCAGTTCATCCCTTGAAGTGTTCTTAAGTTACCAACTTGTTTTTAATGTATAGTAATGTAGGAGCACCATCATTTTTTCCAAATAAGATTCAGCCATATGAAAATGGCAACTGTAAAAATGTTCTAAGACTTGTTCAAAACAACAAAATTTGACTTATGAAAGCGGTATATGACTTCCATAGTGTTGCAGTGGTAAACAGCTGGGACAGCTGGGATCTAACTTTACATAAGGTGGTTGCCAGGAGCCTGGGAATCCCATCACAGTGAGACTGCACCTCTCATAAGCCAGAACTTGCTGTTAACTATTTCTGCCTCATTGTGGTGCTGTATTATATTGCCTTGGACTCAGGCTAATTTTTGTGTCCGTCTCACTGTTTCCTGTGCTGCACATTAAGCAGCATAGACAGCTCACACTTGGATTTATGAGCTTCTCTGAGTTAGACATTCAAGATGAAGCATTATAGTAGTGAGCATGCATGTGTCCAAGTGCACCTTTGCAACTGCAAGAAGTTTTGAGGAGCTTGAATGATTCCCATGATCAGGGCTGTTCTCAAATGAGCTGGGAGAACGATATTCATGCACGTGAAGTGAGACTATGCAGTAATCTTTTTTGAGCTTCACTTTTCAGCAACTTAATGAAATAATTCTTATTGAAGAACAGGTTATATCCTTTGGAAATAGTTTGGGTGCTGTTTAGCACAGAATTTTTACAAGGATGTGTAAGTAATGCACATGGATTTGAAAGGGGTGGTGGGTTGGCATCAACTCTTAAAAGCTATGCCAGCACCTTATGCATAAAATTTTCAAAAACATATTGAACATCCTCTGTTTCTGGTGCAGCTTAAGAGGATTTTACTACATCATTTTGTAGAAGTCATTGTGGTGATGCTAGAGCAATACCAAATAACACTCTGGACTGAATAAAAAATGAGTAGTGCCATGTGTAGCTAAACTAAGGAAGTTTTATTTTTCATAGATTTCTTATAATTGGGCTCTCAGTGAAGGCAAGATACACAGTTTTCAAGCTGTTTGCTTGGGGATAGGCTTGAAGACCTTACTTTTGACAACTTCAGTTGAAGTTAGCCAACAGGCTCATTCATTTTGCAGATTAAGGGGAATGAAGAAGTATAGACAGCATAGTAACAAAAAAGGCTAAAATCACTAGATAACTGAATTGAGTTTTAAACAAAGACGTGCTTTGTTCTGCTGAGCACTTTGTTCACTTGATTAATTGTACAGGATGTTAGATTCATTGCAGTGGATATGTAATGATCATTATAAATTAGTAAGGGTGGTAGTAGTAGGGCAATCAAAGAATAAAAAAAACACTGGATGGAGTGCTCTGGACACACACAGCTTCTAAGGGGTATAGCAGACACCTTCTACAACTGGTAAAGCGCAGAGCTGAATCCCTCCTGCCTTTTTTCTTTGCCTAGATACATGCCCTCCCAGGTGGCTCTGCTAGGTTCCTTTGTTTTCTTTCCGAGGTTCTTTGAGTCAGAATGGATGGATTCTTTTGTACCCCAGAAAAGATCTTAAATAATGTAGCTGGGCTCTTGACAGCTGAAACATCAGTGTCAGCTACAGAAAGTGTTGCTATCCTGGAGCTGAACTTTCCTCTTAGATTGCAGTGAGTTTGCATTGCCATATCAGAAGTGCCTGTTAATGAAGAAAGTAAGAAGAAGCAGAGCAAGCTGAAGGTTGTACTCTTCACAGTCAAGTTGAAAAGGAACATAGCTTTCAGATTTGAAATAGCTCTTGCTTTCTGAATCCTTTCCTTCACTTTCTAAAGGGAGGCATTAAATCAGACTTAAATTTCTTTTCCTGTAATGAGACAGAGTGCCTGTCCTCTAAGCACTGTAGTATGTTTTGAATGAGTTCAGTTCTCAGGAGCTTAATAGAGGAAGTAAAATTGTAATTCACTCATGCACAGTTGAGAGCAAAAAATTAGTCTTCTGTTTACTCACTCGCAAATAAAACTCTCTTCTTTCTTTTAGTCTCCAAACCGTTAGACACTTGTGATTAAAAATGTACTTTGTGCAGCTAACATTTTTGTTCTAGGAAGCTGGAGAGTTGAGGATTTTTTCTTAAATGGGAGAGATGAGAAACTAGACACATAATACAACTGAGGAAAAAATCAACAAGCTTTAAGTTATAATTCCAATTTTAGGTTAAACATATGGAATGTTTTACTTGAGTGTGGGGGGTTTTTTGTGTGTTACATGCAAATGTAATTTTAGAACTTTAAAAAGTACTTATTGGGACTTTCTTATGCAGTGCTTTTAAACAAAAGTGAGCTACAGATATCAGTGTGGTAATGATGAAAAGATCTTCTGTCACGCACCTTCCTGCTGGAGGATTTGATTCTGAAGACTTGTACTCGGCTGTCTTATAAACAGACACCAATAGCTTACATTTATTTACATTCCCTGAGGTTCTTGTCCCAAAACCCCGAATCCTTATACCCAACTCAAATGGTGAATGAAAGCTTAAAAAAAAAAATTTGAATGCATTGCCAGTTGCTCTGTGTAGGCTCAGTCCTGCATGTCACAAGTGCAGGAATGAGCGGCGTTTGGTGACTTACAGATCTCTGTCCCACTGTTTTGCCCTGCGTTTGGTCCGGTAGCTGCTGCCATCTCTCCTTCTGCTGCACAAGCTGTGGGTAAAGAAATGTCTGCGTGCAGCTGGCACAGAGGGAACCCGTAGAAGCTGCCCATGTTTGTCACTTGACATTTCTAGGGTTATACCCTGTTTACAGCTATATGCACAGGCTTGGTCATGCTCCCTCACCCATCGTGAACTTGTCCTGGGCTTCTGCCCACACTGGAAGCACACTGAGGCTTTATTTGTCAGAGGCCAGATCTCTGTGGTTTTAGGTTGGGAGGCTTGGTGAGTAAGCCAGGATCTTGAAGAAGAGTGGGTAATGACCTTTTTATAAAGTTCTTGATTTGTATGTTGATAGCTGTGCAATTAAAAAAATATTTTGTTTGAATGGAAGTTGAGGCCTTCTCTTAATTGAGAAGGCCTCTGAATTAGCAAGTTTTTGATTTGTAGGTCCCATAGGTTCTCTCTTTAAATACATCACACGTAGCTGTGTCTGACTGATTCTTCACAGCTATGTTATTTACTTTGCCTTCCAGGTGTCCGAAAATATGGTAAAGATTTTCAAGCTATTGCAGATGTAATTGGCAACAAGACTGTTGGCCAAGTGAAGAACTTCTTTGTAAACTACAGGCGTCGGTTTAACTTAGAGGAGGTATTGCAGGAATGGGAAGCGGAACAAGGAACCCTGGCTTCTAATGGTGATGCTTCTGCTTTAGGGGAGGACACAAAAAATACTTCTAATGTGCCATCAGGAAAGAGCACTGATGAAGAAGATGAGGTGTGTTTTGTGTACCAGAAATAAGTAAGCATGGGTTGAGGAACAGCATTTCATTTAGTGATATAATGTAAGGTTAACTGGTGTGACAAACCACATTCTAAAGAATGATGATGAGCTTGCATAGAACTTCAGCCAATGTCGTTAACCAGCGGGGAGCAGGACTGCACCTTTCATAGTGACAATCACATTACTGTTTTATTGTTAAAGTACAGTTCTTGTTCTAGAAGAAGACTCTTGCTTCATAAATAGTTTTAGTTCTGCTGTCTGTAATGTTTTGGTTGGCGATTTCTTTTCAGTAACTTCTCGGTTTTTTTGGTTTTGTTTTTTAAATGCTGTTTCCTGTGTAGTGGACAGTGGCAGCCCAACTGCATTGCACTCTGGCTGGGGCGGCTGTTCACGCAGTCTTGTCTTTGTCCTTTGTGCAGGCACAAAGCACTCCGGCCACTCAGTGTTTAGGCCCTTCACCTCCAGCACAGGCATCTGCTCCAGCACCTACCGCTCCCATGGCACCTTTAAACCAGCCGCCCCCGTTGCTTCGTCCGGCGCTTCCTGCTGCTCCTGCTCTCCATCGTCAGCCTCCACCACTGCAACAGCAGGCACGATTTATCCAGCCAAGGCCGACTCTAAACCAGCCTCCCCCGCCGCTCATCCGCCCAGCTAATTCCATGCCTCCTCGTCTAAACCCCAGGCCGGTGCTGACCACGGTTAGCGGCCAGCAGCCGCCTTCGCTTATCGGAATTCAGACAGAATCTCAGTCCACTCTGCACTGAAGAAGGAAAAAAAAAAGAGCAGAATTCTGCTAACTCCTACGTTTGAAAAATGGTATCGATGTACTTTTTTTTTTTTTATTTTCCAAATAATGAAGGGGAGAAAATAGCAAGCCTTCACAGGTAGCAGACCAGTTTGACAGAGGAGCAAGCTAATAACTAGAAACGGAACCATGTGAATGACCACCTGTATAAACATATTTTTATGTTGAAGACTTGTACAGCAGAACAATGCCTACAATAAAGCCCTCCTCTATATTAATAACTGTTGAAGGAAGCTAACTTCTTAAATGAATAAATGTTCAACACACCAAGATTTTGTTTAACTGATTTTTACTCTATTTATTTTATTACAGTTCTTTGTAGTCAAGCATCTAACTACAGGAAAGTAGTCTGGCAAATCTAGGAATAGATAATATTGTAGGAGACTTAAATGTAGCGTTGGGGGGGTGGGGTTTGTGTGTGTGTTTTTTGTTTTTTTTTACTTTTTAGTGCAAAAAAAATAATGGCCTTAGGTTCAGAATTTTTGGCCCTGTTTAGGTAACAGTAGAAGCATTTCATGCACCTGTAAAATGTAGGTGTTTCTTCTCGTTGTATTTTTCCCAGAACACTTTTTCTTGTTTAAAAAGGTACTGTCTTATTAAATACTCCTCTGGAAGTGTATTCTGAAGATTCAATGAGCTATTGTACCAAACTTACTAAATCTCATGTATGTTCTACACATAGAAGTTAACTTGAAAGCAAGAATCCAGTTTCCTGCTGGGGTAGAGAGAGAGAGAGGCAGCAACTTCTGCCACCCAGGGGGATGAGAGGGGAAGAACCATATAGCAAAAAAACACATTAATTTATTTGTTATTCCACTAATTCATCTAGTTTGACTACAGTAGAATTTCATGCCTTTGAGCATGGCTGCCTGCAGTTTGTATGTGCTAGATCATTGGTATCTGGCCTAACAATTCATGACAGAAGTATAGAGGCTGATGGTGGTAGTAGAATATTGTGGCAGTAGTGTTGCATGCTGCTGGCCCAGTCTTACTGTTAAATTATTATTTCAATTTTCTGCTATTTCTGGTGGAGCTGATAAGCTGGGTTGAGACTATAGTGGGGTTTTTTCTTTGTTTTGTTTTACTAAATACAACCTATATTTGGGTTTTAATTATTGCTTCTAAATTTTAGGAAAGGTTTTCTTTCCACTGCAGTCTGAAAATTTGATGTATGTCTAGCAGTGTTTTGAGGATGGGTTTTTTAGTTTGTTGTTTGCGTGTTGTTTGTTTTGTTGTTTTGTTTTTTAAAAAAAGGAAATGCCTCTACCTTTAAGAAAATCAGGCTGCAAATTTGAGTAGCAGTGTGCATCAAACCATTGAAAAACATTACATTCTTGACTTTGTAATAATGTTCATGTTGACAGCCATACTATGTAGAAAATTATTTTTGCTTGTATCTAAAATGGTGTTTGAAAATCCTTTCAAAGCTGCCTATTAACTAGATTTGAGACTTTATTTGAAAATGGAATGTGCTCTCCCTAGGGTTTTTCACAGATGAATTGGATGCTCTAATGATCGGTTAGTAACTGGCAAAAGTCTTTTGTATGCGCAAAGGGAAGTTCTGACAGCATCATATCCTATTTAATTTGTAAATCTAGTATTAAAGTTTGATAGTTGTGGCCTGAGTTGCAGTTAAGATGTTGACATTTATGTTCTAGTTTGTAATTTAAAGATGTTTTCATACCAAGCGTGAGATTTTTCCTTTCTGAACGGCTTTCACTAGTGTTCTGTGGCCTCATGCAAAAGGGCCTTCCTACAGTTTTTCTTTGGCATCAGAGTAGATGCTTAGCCACTATGTGAGCATCAGATGACCTGTTGTCTAAGAAAAGCAGCATTCTAAAGCAAGCACAGAGGAATTTGTGGTCACTGAAACTTGTGTTCTGGGAGTCATTAAGTGTCCCCTCCACAGCTACACAAAAATCTGGCTGCTCTCCAGTCTTTAGGATATGAAACTGTCCTGGTACATTTTGACATCCTAAGTATCTCAGTTTAATTGTCAATAGTGATAAGATACATCTTCAGGATTTCTTTTTAATTTATTTTTTTTTTTAAGCATTGAGTCTCCCAGGTGTGTGTATTGTACCTTTGCTAATTTTTGTCTTGTCTCTTGTCAATAAGACTTCAGTATGCAGAATGTTGGGTGTCGCAGTAGAGTTGGCCACCACCAACTGCTATAAAACTGTTCAGTACATTGTAATTCCGTTTAATCTTGTTTGAATATTCTATAACTGGGGAAAGGTGCTGTATTTGAAGGGGGGAGGGAGGGTCAGAGATGGGTAGTATTTCTTAATTTACATACACTGTAGCACACAGGGAACTCCTAGCATTTGTAGTACTAAAGTATGTACATAGCAAAATGTCTTTATTGTGTGCTTTGCAGAATATGTGCATACAGTTTGCACGTCCTGTTTTGGGGGGTAGAGTTTGTTTTAAGCAGTGTTTGCCTGGAGAGTGATATGCTTGCTGCTTAATCAAAGGATTAAAGTTTCAAAGAAATCTGTGTCTTCTATTTTTATGTACCTTGTAATGGTCTAATATGTTAGGGCCCTTATACTGTGATTCTCTTCTAAATTCATTTATATTTTTTTAAGAATTAGAAATAAAATTATACAATGGTGTTGATTTCAGTGGGGAATTTCTTTTGCCGTATCTAGTCTCCTGTTTTGTAATGTAGTTACAAACTCTGACTTCAAGGTTGGCTTAATTTTGTCACTTTAAAAAAATGTAAAATGTTTGCACACTAAAGTTTTGCAGAGAACGTGTATCCTACATTGTTCAAAGCTAATGTAACTCTACAGCTTTTTGTACAGTTTATTTTAGTTAATAAAGCAAAATGGTACTAAAAATGAGGCATAATCTGAAGGACGTGTCTTCTAGGAATGACACTTGAAAAATACGGATGTAAATGAACTATGGGATTTAATTGTTGCACTTTAAATCAGAATGGCTATGGAGTT